GGGCTATCATTTTTCCTGACGCACTCGCTGTGCTGCACTTCCCTTTGCAGCAAGAGCGTCCAGCTGACAATCAGCACGAAATGCCATGGCACACAAGCGAGCATTGCATTCTCCTTTATCCCTGCATCAATGGGAATCGGTTTACAAGCTTGTTGTTGTCACGCAAAGTGCGACTGCTTGCTGAGCCCGCGCGTCCGTGAACCTAGACAATTTGGTGTTTTTTTTTGAAGCAGTTATGCACTAACAAACACACATTAAGGTTTGTACACTTCAGCTCATATCGTCGTGAATCCCTGTCTCCTCGCCATGTGCGCTTGCCCCCAATTGTGCTGCCATGTGATAATTTAAAGTGCAACGTTCCACGAAATACGAAATCAATCTATTCACACACGGAATGACTTCCGCTTCGTTTTTGGATCTTCTTGCTAATAGCTTCCTCTGGACTAAATGTCTAGATATGTGACTGCATGTATGGCAAAGTAACGGTTCCTGCTGGCAAGCATATTAATATAAGAGAAAGCGACACATAAGAGAAAATGATAGCCCTTTTGAGCTTAGGTTTATGTAAAATCAAAAATACAGTTATAATTGTATTGGAAGTGCTTCAATTAGAAATATCCGAAGAAGGCATACAAAGTACACATAGGGAATATCTCGACTCGCGTTAGCAGATATGACAAGAAGACTCTCACATTCGACTTTCATGGTCAGTAATTAAAAATGTCGTGAAATGTGGGCAACTTTTTAGTCCCCACTATTAAATGTTTCAAAAAACTAAATGACTCTTTTCATGTTTAATAGGGTCCTCCATATAGTTATAGAATACTATTTTATGTATGCCGAATAATATTCTTGAACATAAATTAATTTGTGAAGCATTGTAAATTTGAAGAATTGTTTCGATTTCCCTTCAAGAGTTAAGAAAGAACTCTTTCAGACTCTTGTGGCTTACCGACCGCCCCGCCCAGGCTACGGGAATAACATTGTCATTATAGCAAGACAAAAGTTTGAGTTTGTCAGTGATTAAGGGATGGATCCCTAGAATAGTTAAAGCTTAGGTCTATACCATTAGCAAATGAGCAGAAGTTATTCTAGAGAGAAACCATCTCAAAGAAAAAGTAGAACGAATTGCCATTCTCAGTGATAATCAAGGAGCACTTCAGGCAATCTAATCTGTTGAAATCAAATCAACAATGGTACTAGAGTGCAAATAAATGCTTACTAAAAACAACATCCTACCAGAATGAATTCCGGGCATGGAGTCATCAATGGAAATGTGTTGATTGACCTCCTGGGCGAAACAGGCCGTGGCAACCAGTCCAATAGGGCCGGAACCGTTCTCCGCCGTGGGTACCCCAACTTAACAAGTGACAGGCGAGGCTATTTCTGCAAGTGTTCAATAAAAACGATTCAAACAACGAATTCCTCTTCACAGAGAAATGCCCAATAAGATGTCACCTGGACAGTTCAGGATATTGCGTCATGAAGAAGCAAGAAGAAGGGCTCTGGTTATCGGCCAATAAATCTTATGTGAGTATACATTACAGTCATAAACCTAAGAGTTTTCCAAGCATCCTTAATTTTACTGGCCTAAACAAACTGTTGCGATATTAGCAGTGAGCACAATAGACAACAGGTCTCTCTGTCTAACTGAACCCTAATTTGTGGGCACACAATCATGTTGAGGTTAAAAATCTTGTAGTGTGCAAATTATCGATATTGTTAGGAGGAGAAACACCAAGATAATTTCTTACTCCACTACATATCTAGCTTTCACTGGACTGAAGTTGAAGTATTTTTCTATAGTCAATCCATCGATGATTTGGTAGCAAGTGATAAAATCCAACAAATACATTTAAGACAGGTTGAAACCGTATTTGCGAGAATTATTTTATCTATACTCAACAGTTCTTGGCATCATAAAAAAGCGACGTTCTTAGCTGTCTATACATATATCCTTTTTGAGCCTTGCGACTCGGATCAGTCCTATTATTTATTCTAGGCTAATTCAGCTATTTTCTTACTAAGTAAATTGCAAATTAAACGTTTTTTAGCTACTGTAGACCGAACAAAATAAAAGCATATAATCTATGGTAAACCGCTGCCAAACAAAAATAAGTAACTGCAAACCCTTGAAGACTTAGTGTATATATCTATCAAGCTACATACTCCAAAAACGTCATACAAAATTGTTACCCATAAAATCAGTGAGTGGAGTTTACTGTTATGCTTTATACGTGCGTGTTTCTTTGAAATATTATCTTCAAAATTAAAAGAAAATGAGAACTATATTTATCTCGGTCTTATTTTCCATTAAAACCGTTATAAACCACTCAAAGCGCTATCTCCATGATTGGTAAATTCGAACGCCCCATTTCTTTTAGGAATAAATTAGAAATTTCCATATACTTCAAATAGATTTTAATCCACGTGGAAATGCCGTGCAATAAACCAAGCCGTTATAAATAGAAAGACGGATAAAAACAACAACTACTCAGGGAATATGCATAATAAGTGAGATTATATGGCGAAGGAGATATTAAAAGGCAAAGAAACCATGAGAGTCGAGCCAGAATTAAAACAAAAAAGCTACGCCAGGCAGCGCTGAATGCAAAAGTGAAGAAAAAGTAATAAAGGACATTAGCTAAAAACTCGGCAAAGAATGCAACACAGAGTGCGAAACGATGCAATAAGCCAAGTAACAATAACAATAACTGCTACAAAGCGGTGTAAAAAGTAATGGACAGACAAAGCTGCCGGATTGTAAAAACAAATATATATATATATATAAATGTGTGTAAATTTATGTGTGTATGTGTGTGAAAGGACTTTTTAAATACAAGTAGAATAGGGTTTCTGTGTAAACGCAGCCATCAAGGACGGGAATCAGGGGCAGGGAATACAAGACATGCGCTTCACGACAAAATGCATGAGGATGCGGCGGCAAAGCTGCAACACAGAGATGCTTTGGCTGTTGGCAGCAACATATTATTAAAGTTCTTAGTTTTGGTCCGCGTCTTTGAGTGCCAGCTGGCGGGTGAGCGACGCGTGTGTGAGTGCGTAGGAGATGGTGAGGCTGCGTGGGCAAGAAAATCTATCAAATTGAATTGTGTTGTTATGCAGATGAACACAAAACTTATGGAACTTGTACACGGCAAATCTAGCAGTTAGATACTTCGAGCGAGAGTTGAGTGAAGCAGCGAAAAAAGTCGAAACGTACAAAATATCATGTAGCGCCAAGGATAAGCAGCGAAAAACGAAAAAAAGTACTACGAAACCGAAACGAAAAATATATTGGAAACATGTGTTTGTACGTGTGTGTGTGTGTGTGTGTTAAGAAACTGGTAATAAGGAACGAATAACTACTAATACTAAGAAGATGTACAGTTAACACTAAAGTGGAAATATCTTCGCCGGTATATATGTGTGCGTGTGTGATTGTTGTTGTGCGCTTTTATGCAGAAACTGGAACAGTTCACTGCGCATTGTAGCTGCCCCACGTCAATATCACAGCACACTACTTAAACTATAGACCTACTTATGCACCGGTGTGTGTGTGTGTGTGTATGTGTATTTGTTTTCAAAGGCGAGCGCTAGATGACTACTCGGAGCTAGGGATTTTAGGGAAATTAAAATTTTTCCTCTATCGAAACACACACACTTACATGGCTACGTATAGAAATATTTATTTATTTGTTTGCTGACTCATTACTTGTATTGGAGCACCTGCGGAGTGGGGGCAGGGGTATCGTAACATTTATGGTTGAACGCTACACAAACACTGACATACATGTCGCTACGGAGAAGGCATGTGTGCGCACTAGAGGGTTAAGCGAGTAATACTTTTCATTGAGATTTCTAATTTTTTGTTGTTTTTGTTATTTTTTATTTTTGTTTCTCTTTTAAGCGCTAAATACACTTTCAGATGCAAGTTAAAGCAACAGCAATCTCGAAAGTAATAAGAACGAAATAATGACGGAAAACTGAACATTAAGTTAATGTGATGAGAGTCGATTTCTAAGCAAGTGTTCTTAACAAAAACAAAAACAAAAACAAGAAAATAGTGTTTACTTAGTATGTATGCGCAGCATCCTTAATTGTAATGTTGCAAAAATGCTTTATTTTTTTCGATGTTTTTTTTTTTTTTTTTTTTTTTTTGTTTTTTTTTTTCTAATTTTTTTTTTTTTTTTTTTTTTTTTTTTTTTTTTTTTTCAAATGCATACCAACAAAAATGAAGGTTGTTGCATGTCAGATGAGCGGATGATCGCATGAGTGATGAAGCGTGAGTAAAAATGTGCTCGCTTCACTTTCGATGCGTTGGACGATTGATTGCATAATGAGTTTTATCGACAAATAGCTGTTGTTACACTAAATAAACGGCGCATTATCACATATGTATGTATGTATGAATATATGGTAAGTAATAGCATGTAATTAGAAAATTATATCGAACTGCGTAGCAAATTTCTAAAGTACTAAGAATAAACGAGTAGTCCGAGTTTTATACGAATAGAAACAGAAACAGAAACAGAAAGACAAAGAAACATTTTGTGAATGTGTGTGTGTGTTCGTTAATAATTTTAAAGCCAAGTTAAACATTTATTATTATTATTTGTGATTATTTTGTTCATCAATTGAAAATTCGAACGTCGCTCAATAGAAAACGAAATCACTTTTAGCTATTTTTCGGCAGACACAACTGCAGAAGCAGCGTTTAAAAGGCTAGTTTAAGGATTTTTTTGAACAGCGTTGTTGTGATTTCTATGCATTCAAAGCTGATTCACAGCGACTTTGTGCCTGCTAGCCTTTGGTTCGAAAAATTTAATCAGTTTATGTTTATTTTGGAATCTTTGAAAATTTTCATAAATTCGCATAAATTTTTTTCGTATTTTTTTTACTAAAAGCATTTGTCGATTGTTGTTTTTTATTTTGGTATAAATATACGTTTCGCTGATAAATTTTGTTTAACTTTCGAAAAAGGTAACTAAAACAGTATTTACCTGTTTTTGGGCCATGGCTTGCATTTGCTGGAACATTTGTCGCTCCTCCTCCTTACCTGTAAAGCGGATGAGACGTTCGAAAGAATCAAAGAGCAAAGAAGAGAGTGAATGTGTTGTTGTATACAAGTTGTGGAAATACGTAAATATGTTAAATAACCTCAAGAGCCGTCAGTCGCTGTGATCGCTAACTCATCTCTAATATCATTCAAGCTTATTTCAATGCTCACTCTAACCTAATTTTCTTTCATTATTCTTGGCCATACCATTAAATTATTTAAAACTATTATTTTAAAAGCATATTTGTAGGATCCATTTTCTTGAGGAATTTAAAATTAGTACGAACTTTTCCAAATTAAATTTTTTGTGGTGAGACGAATATATAAAAGTTTTGAATGGAATGTCTCAGAAAAGTTTGCCGAGAATAGAGAGCATAATAAAATCCTATTCTTCAAGCGCTAGCAAATCGGTTCTCCTAATTTCTAATTTGGTAAAAAGTGGGTAAATAATTCAATGAACTTTCCGAATCGTCATTGAAAATATGTGTTCCAGAATTATGATTTAACAGCTGAAGTCAATATGTGTTCTTTCCACAAATGGTAACGTCTTTCCTGGTAAGAAAATACTCTTAGTGTTCATATTTTCCAAGGCATTTCACAAAAAGATGTTTATCCCATCCCAAAACAGTCGGTTTTACATTACCGGAATCGACCCGATTTTATCCAGCCAAGGGTTAAATTTTTGGGAGATCTAACTCCGTTCAGATCTATAAGTTTTAGTATAAGTATATATTTCACACCAATTGTTCTTTTTACCCTCAGTGACACCTTTTGCCAGGGATGGGGATTTAAATGAAGTATGTCAGTAACTCTAAGTACTCAGCTATAAAAGCCATACCTACCATACTCATACCTTCCGCGACCCCATCGAGCACCCAAGGCAATGCTTGCAAGTTTAGGTGAGATCCAGTAACCAAACCGTGTGGAGAAGGAGCTTTGGTAGGGACACTCAGATATACCCGGTTTCGGTTCAGTCATCTGTCTTGGAGCAATCTGCTGGTTATATAAAAGCGATCACTGAAACTTGTTCCTTAGCTAGGATTGTGTCGCTAGACTTGGGGAACGCCATTTAAAAATGAAACGCCATTGAAAGGTACATGAAAGCCTCGGAAGCGAAGAAGAGAGTTAAAAAACATAAAATATTTGATGATCTTGGGAAGTTCAGACCATAGTTGCAATATATGTATTTGTAACTGCTCTCGAAGTTTTTATATAAAAATTTAATGTTTGTTTCTTCGTACGTGGAGGAAAGCCTCTGACAATGAGTAATACCTCAGTACGATACCCAATAGAATCATAAAATAATTGTATCTAACCTAATACAAGCTGTGGAATTAATCATCGCTACTCTTAGGCTAGTCCCAAAAATTAAATTTTAATTGATGTTTATGTTTAAAATAGGACCTAAGCATTTTGAAGAGCGCCTAAAAGGAGCTGATCTATGTATGTATACACTTACCCATTCCCTTGGTTTGCAACATCTCCAATAATTTCTTGATACTTTCATCGCGCGCAATGAGCGTTTGTTTTTGTGTTTCCACGCGGCACTCAAGATCCTTAATCGTCTCGCGTAATATGCTGATCTCGCGCTGTAAATGATCGTTTTCCGCGTACAAAGCCTCCATTTGTTGTTGCATTTCTATGTTAGGCTGTCGCATGCGCATACGTAACTCCTCCTCCAGCTGACGCACCAACATCGCTTGTTTCTAAAGAAAAAGTTAACCAGTACGAACAGTTGGAGATCAGTGTCATTTATAAGTCGGAAGAATAGCTCTTGAGAATAAACCTAATATAATATCGTAAAGCTACAGCAGTTAGTGTTTCGAAATGCTTTGCGTATTGAAGTGTAATGTTTCTTACTTGATTCTCCGTGCTCAGCAACTTTAGCTGGTCGTTAATCAAACTGTATTTGGCGCTCTCTTCTTTACGTAACGCTCGCTCCTTCTTCAGCTCCGGCGACCAAAATGTCTTTATGCTGTGCATCGAACTGCCCAACTTTTGGTTTGTCAGTTCTAACTCTCGCTTAAGTTGACCTAATTCGCGCTGCAGATCTGTATTTTGATGCTGTAGATCGCCCAGATACGCTCGATCCGACGATGGTAAGCCCGTTTGATAACCTGAAAGAAGCAAAATCATAAAAGTTACAGTGCATTCGAAGGCAGTTAAGAAAGTATCTCTCAAAGGTCATTTTTATATAATTTTAGGATTTCATTTCTGATCCACGTCACTTCACATTTTAACGCACTTACCTATAGGATTGGGGCTCTGTCGCGCTGAACGTCCGTACAACTCGTCCTCCAAATACAATCCTCTCTCGAGTGACCTATCGCGTGAGCGATCGCGTGGCTCACGTATGGGTATAAATTCACGATCGTGCGGATCAACCAAGCCACCGCGATCCAGCGACTGGTAACGGGTTCCTGTGCAAACGAAAATTATAAGCAAATCTTATTAGTAAATTTTGTCTTTCTAAGTCATTAATGAGAGACATATTCAGGTAAATACAGACAAATTTCTCATATTAATTTGGCAGTTGGCATCATGGCATCAATTTTGTGTTTAGTATAAGTAACGATCTTTGATTACATCAACTTTTTAGTTTATGTCGAACGTAATCGCCGGTTAACCGCTATTCGCCAGTTAACTCCAAATTAGTGTTGAGAAATCGCCAAGTTTGTGGAGTGTAAGAAATACAGTTTATTTACTTGGATAATCCATGGCGTGTGACATCGGCGGTCTGCTGGCACTCCGACTCCGATGGTGGCCCGCACCGGCTGGACTTGTTGGCTCATCCATGTCTCTATAGTATGGACTGCCCATTGCTGTAATTCACACAATTATGACGATGATAATAATGAGGGTGATGTGGCTAAGGGATGTGATACGTGTGAGTAGAGAAAAGTGATTGTGAGAGGACTATGGATGTGGTCATGGTCGGTGGTCGGTGGTTCGTGGTTAGTTGTGGGTAGTAAGCGGTGTCATTTGCTGGTGTTCGCTGGTAAGGGAATTTTTATTTCATTTTTGGGCTTGGATGGGTGATTCAGTGTGGAAGTAGGTAACGTATCAAAATAAACAGTGCATTCGGGATTTATCGCATTTTTCTGGAATTGCTAGTACGTGTCAAAGCATTTAAATGATCGCTTTCAAAATATTAAAATATTTTAATGTGTATGAAAGTAATAAACGAAATTAAAATTTTAAAGGCTAAATGAAAATTGTATGCAAATATACATGGCAACGCTATCATGTTTGTACGAGTATGAGCGTGTTGTTGCTTGTTGATGAAGTTTTGCAACAAAACAAAAAGCTTTTAATTAATGGGAATACTAACGGAGCACTGAAACAAAAATAGGTCACTAAAAGTTCTCTATACACTTTTTACAGTTTAACTAATTGGAAAAAGCGGTAAGTGTGTGTATATATATTTGTGTGTGCATGTTGGCAATGCTCATGTGATGGGCGTGCATTGAGCCTTTCCTGTACGGAGAGCGTTATTTTCAAAAATAATGAAACTTGTGTGGCTGTGTTTGTAAGATTGCTCCAAAGTGCGTGTTTGCCTACGGAAAACTACTGGTTGACCTCCCTTTGGATATTTAAATTATTGCTTTGGGATTGCCTTACTTGCAATGAATAACGGCGTGTGGTACGTCAGAGCGATATTATAGGGTTCCACTTTAAAGGAACATTGTATGTAAACAGTAATTATATTATTTTGAAAAGGGCCGCCGCTGGCAGAAAAACTAGCCAAGAAATAATGACTTTATACTTCCATGCTGGGAACAAAGTCGGCTTAACTAAAATTTGGACGGCGGTCTTCAGCGTCACTCAAACATTGCTGTTAAGGCTAAAGGAGTGACCCCTTATATTTTCGATGATTTATAAGCCTACTATTTGGATTTGGATTGCTTCAGCATAGTTATAATACGCTTCACAGCTGTATTTTTTAATAGCGGAGCAGGGTATAAAAAGAACTTTATTCTGATCTTTGATCAGTTAATTCGAATGGCAATGAACACTATGCTCGGATATATCATCATCAAGATATCTTGTCTAATAAAAAATATTTCCAAAGAAGGACCTGAGTGGAAACGGACAGTTTATTTGGCAGCTATATGCGATATCGGCGATTCTGGTAAAACAGCAATTTCTTAAAGGGAAAAGGACTGAGAGAAAAGTTCGTGTACGTATACAGACGGAGAGATAGGCGGGCATGGACAAATCGACTCAACTTGTCTTCCAAGGATTTATTGCCATCGTAATGAAATAATTTGCCTGCAGCATATATGCATGGTGTATAAGTAATATGAGTATTAACTCTCTTCGGGTCCGTTTCTGTATTTAAAGGCGGCCTTATCAGTTTCCAATCATTGATGGAAGAGCATATGAACTTCAAATTTTGCTGATAACAGACATTTTATTTACAATGGTCTTAGTGACCCGTTAACTACCCAAATTACATATTTTAAACCTTTGTTATTACCATTTTAATAAAAAAAAGTTTATTTCTTTTTTCTTGTTTGAAAATCAATTGAAATTAAAGTATTTTGTCGTTGGAAGTCGTCAAGTTCCATTCAAGAAACAATCTAACAAAATCATTCAGCTCTTTAACTACGCATAAGTTCATCCAACTACGCATGCTACTGTTTCGTTATTTTGCTAAAGTTAAAGCCGCTTGTAAAGCTCTACCATTCACCCTGATGTATTTGACAGAAACCTGAAAGTCATTGAAGTGCCATCGAGTTTAGTCTATCTAAGAAGATTCAATAGAGTTAATATATTCTTCATTGATGAAGTTGAAGTATACGCAGTATCTCTCATTACCCCGGAAGATTATTGCGAGAGCGTACTAAAGGGTCGCATGTCGCATTACAACTACTACTTATGTGGATTTAAGATATTGAGCGAGGAACCGAAGAATGCTAGCTCGCTCAAGCGAAATTTTGATCACTTTTTAAATAAATTTAAACTACACCTTATTATGCTGGTGTTTTCAAGTAGCAGACTATAGATACACATATGTATAGTTATAAGGATGGGCCAAAAACTTTGTAGATTTTCCTTGGCTACCATGAATCAATATGCTGGGACTAGTAGAGTCTTTGTGATCTAGGAGTGGGCACAGCAGACCTAAGGGCGCGGTGAGTTCCTCGTTAATTGATCTAATCTAATTTACCCTGAAAATACCGTTCGAAATTACGAAACAAAATTCTGCTAAAGTGTGAGCTCTTTATATTATTATTTCTCATAGAACACAGAGATATTGTTTTTTATTATTATTATTTTTATTTTTATTTTTTTTATTTAATGCATGTGAAAAAATTATTGTTTAGTAAGTGTGAAAACTAATTCTTGTTGGAAAATTAACGAACTACAAAAATGTCAGTTGGTAATTGGTTTCAAAGTCGACTCGTTCAAAAGCAATTCGAGCTCAAAATCCCACCTTAAATCGTAAGTGACAACCAGATATTTTTGGTCATTTCGTACGATATTTTAATTGTATGAAGAAAGCAAAAAAAAAGTATTTTCTTTTATCCCCCAAATACATGTATATAGCGTCACCTAAAATGCAAGACAACGTAACACCACTTTGGATAAGTTTACATTCAAAAAATTTGGAATTTTGGTTATATTTTGAATATATGTGACAGCGGCAGCTGAAAATTGTGTACTACATACATATATGTAAGTAATATGTGAATCATAAACAATAAAAAACTCAATTTCGATATTTTTGGTGATAAGTTGTTTTGCATTTTAAGTGATTATACATGTGATATCATAAACGTGAATGACTGGCTAATGCAATGAATTGCTGAGTTGCTGGGTTGGCATATCTATTTTACTAACCATAGTTGTAATCCAGCTTGCCGCCTTAATTTGTTACGACACAACGAAGGAACAGTTATATAAGTAAGTGTATGGCGACTTGATTGCGGCACGCCTTGCAACAAACCAACGCGTCGCACCTTCTATCGGGAAGGAATGCTTACTACTTCTAAACTACATTTGATATGTATGTGTGTGTGAGTGTTCGTGTTCGTGTGTTAGTTGGCAACAAATTGTCACATAATTAATGAAATGAAATCGAAACGAAAAGCGTTAATGTATGCGCCAAGCGATGATAAATGCAACAGAAAAATGTTTCATGCGCATGCGTGATGTAAGATAAAATGAATATTAGGTTCAAGTTTGCAATCGTTCGTTATTCAAAGAAACAATATCATAAATTATAATGTACGAGTTTATGTTCACATACAATAATACTTCATTTCGATTTATTTACTTAAACTTAAAAGTAAACGACTGCGAAAACTCTTACTTAATTGACTACGTAGCAATTATTCTATGTATAACTATTGTAAACAAAAAAACAATATTATTATAACTAAATTTACGAGTATGCTGCAATATTTTACTGATGGCGAGAGCTTATAGTGAAGTTGATTGAAATAAGGAAAAAATACACAAAGAAAGAAGCTTCCACGACGGCTTTGTACGACAGCTACAATTCGTGCTTAATTTCGTGAAGATATCTCGACAGCAAATCAGCAGCCTTGTACAAAACTACAGAGCGATATCTCAAAGTCAGAAGGAATAGTTACGGCTAAATCAACCCAACTCGCCATGAAGTTTATATACCAAACATTCTTATTTATTTTATATGGTCTAAGACATTTACTTCTGGGTGCCATAAACTTCGTAGCAAAATAAATATAAATTATAAATAGTAACAAAATTCACTTCAGTATTTTCTGTCTAAAGGGATTGTAATCGTATTGTTTTCATGTATTATTACTAGTACTCGTTAGTGCAGTCGCTGACAATTTCACTAAATATTTTTGGGCAATGATACTAGGCTCGATCAATATAGGTATTTTTACTCCAGTTTAGGTATCCACACAACATCGAAATGCCCGTGAGAATATAGGAGAATATCAATTGCGTTTAAGACTGTTTTTATTACCAAAAGTAGGCTCCTTTTTGTACTTTTTGTGGTCCAAGTTGGTGTCAGATACGAACAAAAATCTTTTGATTAATTTTAGTAATGTGTATATTACATTCGTATACCTATTGCCAGAACTAAATATTTACTTTGGGCTTCAGCAGTAACTAATTGGTTAATAAAGAGTTATTTTTTAGCTTATGATCAACGGATAATCAAAATGGGTACATTAAATTTGTTGAGATTAGTTCCTGTCATACGAGTGTGTTCAAATTTTGCACGAACGTATATTTGTCGGCTCATTATTTGCATTGAAAGAAGCACAATTTGACAACAACAATTCAATTCAATTGAAAACACCCAGCGAAAAACAACCTTTTTATTTTTAGATATGTAGTTTTCAATGAGCCAATAGCGCTTTCGGTTTACTGCCTTTTTGGCCGATGTTATTTGAGTTATACTCAGTTTGGTTCGCCATCTTATAATGAGCGTATTTACTTCAGAACAATGTTTGCCATATTGGAAACGTTTTACCAGTATAATGGTTCGAAAAAGGATGAGGAACATATTTTTTTGGATACGTTATTGAAAAACACTGTCGCATTTATTGTGATCACATTCCGCAAGCCACTGTGAACACGCTTTACATTCTCATTTTGGTGTACCTTATGGGCAGAGGGAACCATATTTCTTCAAAAATGAAGTCGCGCTTAATGTTGCAGATGAGTCGGATACGATTGATGCCTTGGAAAGGAATATTTTGGGTATTATTACTGACATTTGACCCCAATTGCTACAAAAAGTGGTCAATAATTAGGACTCTTGGCTCGGACCAGTCGAAATGCTCACTTGTCTCAAACAATTTTTGAAACATAATGA